GTTGCTTCCAGGGCCTGAAGCAGCTAGTTCAAAGGTATGGGTATTACTAGGTCATGCTGCAGCCTACCACGCAATCATACTCTCACGTATTTTAGGTGATGTTGTCAGATCACTATTGTGAGACACCTGATTTGGTCCGTCTATGTATTTAGTCCAACTATTTGTATAGGTAACACCTGGCATTTTGTTATTTCAATATCTAAAGAACAACGAGAAGTACATCAGAAAAGCGCTTTTAAATTGATACAGAAAAATCATAGTACCAAAAGAGCTTAAACTCAAATGTGTTACTAATCATGAACGTTCCTGGAAGCCAGTGTGTTTAGTCGGGGCAGCAAGCTTAAAAATACTGGAGCCAGATGGGCTGATTCATACCTCAGTATGCAGCCTTATCTGCTGAGAAATCGAACCAGCAAATGGAATATGGAAACCCTTTCTCAATCCTGCAGTGTGCATTTTTACTTCTGACGTCAGAATCCTCCATTTACATATTTCAGAGTGTACTCAAAAACTTCTGACCTAAAACTAGATGCTACATGCTATGAGTCGCAATTATTCCATGTAGAAATGAAACAACTTAGAATAAATGTTCCATTTGTAAAGGAAGTAGTCCGTGGTAGTGCACAGGAGTGCCACAGAAGACAGCTGCAACTAAATGTTGAGAGCTTGTACGTGAAGTTTATTTTCACAAAAGGAGGTAGCAGGTCTCATCTGCGCTAGAGCTGATCCTGCCCTAAGAATGGTGGCAAATTCTCTCCCCAAAGCACCTCTCCTCTGATGATGCTTGCAGCATCCTGAGGTGGAAGGAAAGAATTCAAGCTCTGCTGCTGTGATCAGATGTATGATTATGGATCCAGCTGAGCCAATAACTCTTTAGCCCAGTTTAGCAATCTGACCGGAGGTTGCTAGAAGGAGTCCCAGAGCATGTGATGTTCTTTTGGATTTCAGTAATCTGTGTAAAAAGGGTCCCAAGGAACGTGAAGCTAGTTATTTTGTTTTGATTCCATGTGTGTGAAGATAAGAATCTAATTCAGATAGTAAAACAAAATAGTTGAAGGATAAGTTTTGAAAAGATGCGAAAAAGCTAGCAATGACTCTGTGGCAGAAGCTGGTGGGATGAACCACTGGTGAAAAGTAGAAGATGCTTCATAACATATGTCTGACAACTACTTAAGATTCTTGGTAGCTGGTGCCAGGGAGACAGGATACAAACACTGCATCTCTTTGTGTCAGCAAGGCCAGTGTCACTATGGATGCGGGAGACATTAATTCCAAAGGGAGAGCAGTGCCAACTTTTCTCAAAGGAATCCCTTCAACAGCTCCTCCACTTAGGTGGTTATGAAGTTCAGTTTCCAACGAAAGTCGCTGACTCCTGGCATTACCTCTGCTTCGTTAAATAAGGAGGCAGTTATTTGGGCTGTTACGCTCTACAAGGCCTGCAGAAAAGCCAGGAGGAAGAGCCCAAAGTCACTGTGACTAGCAGTACTCTTTTCTGAAATGTAGCTTGAAAATCGGAGGAGAAACATAAGTGACAGAACTTCATGAGTATTTACGAGAACAGTTAGATGAATGGCTAGAGGGCCAGAGCTCAGACACCTTCCATCAAAAAATAATTGGGGCAACCAGAGAAATGACATTCCTCCATAGCATGGGATGCTGCACGCAAGACATTGTTTGCTGGACACACAGAAATTGAAAGCTGGCATAAGACGTATAGGAATGCTTGAAATTCCTATTCAGATCAGGCATGAACATTTACCACTGACGACAGAGCATCTGACTATGATACGCATACTCACTGCAGAAAGCAGAATGCAAATAACCCCTGAAATCACAAGAAATCCCTTGTGCTCTTTTGCCTAACGTTGGTGCAGATCTATGTGAATTACAGATTCAATTAGGGGAAAAAATGAAGCTTAGTGGCAATCCTGTTTTTAATGAGCTTCCACCAGCTAGCAGCTCAACAGCCCATCATATACGTAGCACGTAGACTATACTTAGATCCTAGGAGTGGAGAGCAGATAAAGGATCACAATCCGGGAAAGGCTTATTCTGATAATTTTCTGAATTTATTGGTTTAAACACACAGTACGAAAATCTAGCTGATGACCGTGTCATCAAATGGCAAAAATTTAATTTGATAGGATTGGAGAGTTTACAGAGCTCCTTACTCTTCCTAGGTTAATGAGGAATGTTTTAAAATCTTGACTGGTATCACGTTTACATCCCCATGAACAGAAAAAAAAAAAAAAAAACAAAAAACAAACAAACAAAAAACAAACACCAAGCACTTGAAGCAGAAACAATCAATCCAGAAGCATTTGTGTTTCTATATTAAATACTGTACAGAGACACATAAAAAAACAACTGGTCCTGCCCCCAATTGTTAATTACATACCGAGAGTGGAATTTCTCTGATTTAACTTTAGCTGTCAAAAAAGCAAGCATGTAGCATACGCTAGTTGCCTGTACTCCCTCAGTAATCAGTGCAGAGAGAGACAGGCATCTCCAGGGAAAAATTCTTTTCATTCTGGATAACAGGATGAATCACCCTCTGGGGACGGTGTGTTTCCAACAGCTGTAAAGGGTATCTAGATGATTCCCTTGCCAAATGGAGTTTAGATTAGTTGGAAAAACAGACGAGCTTTTGGGCACACCACTCTTTCTTTTGATCTGAAAACTGAAGTGATGTTCATGTTCCTAGCATCTTACTATTTTATCTAACAGTACTAGTTGGTCAAATAAAAGATACTCCCTTACAGTCTTTCCTCCTTGTGTATTAGACCATCATATCTAAAACCCTACCATCAATTAGATGCCAAAATACTAGACCTAAAGTTGCATGGGATGAATCTTGTCCCACAATGCAAGAAGAGTGAAAATACCCAAAGAATGTCCAATAGTTATCTCAACTGAAAGTGAGAATATAACATCCTGAGCCAGAGGTGGCTGACAGCATGCCAAAGTCACAGTCAAACTGACCATAACACATCCAAGTGCAACCAGTATCCCAGTAAGTCAGAGCTAGACGAGAAGGTGAAGTCTAGCTGCAACCTAAGTTAATTCAAATCTTTTGGGGACCTGCAGACTGCTCCTGAGACTTGGCTGCCAACAATAAAACCACTAATGACAGGAGAAACAGACTTGAGGTTTCAGACTCAGTGCTGGGGTACATCATGGCAATAGAAGGCTACTGTGGAGAGAACTGTTCTGAGAACTGTTGGGAGACTGCCCCTGTGATCAGAAAGCCATTAAGGCATGCTGACTGTAATTATGGTATACGTCCAGTTGCTTCCTCTGTAAATGGGATCAGGCTGCTTTCTTTGACTATACAGAGGTATATGGGAAGACACAGTGCTTGGGGTATAACTATAAAAAAGACTGAACACTAGGAAATGTCTTGGAGAAAACAGTGCTGCACTGATGAGCAGGAATGAATCGTGTTTGGGAAGCTTCTGCACCTCTTGAATGATGACTGGTATTTAAAGGCACGTGTCCTTAGGGACATGGTTAGTGGGTGATAGTGGTGGCAGGGGGATGGTTGGACCAGATACCTTGGAGGTCTTTTCCAGCCTTAATGATTCTGTGCTGCTGCAGTGTGTGTGAAACCCAGCCTTGTGGACTGAACGCTGTTATTACCTTACAGTACCTGGTCTCTTCGTACCCTTGGGACAAAGGCAGGAATAGACCTCAGGAAGGACGGAGCTCATCTCCCTCAATTGTATATGGTGACAGTGTAGCTGTCCGTATCCAAAGCAGTGCTGTAATTCTGTCTATAGCTCACAGAAGTACAGCAGCAGTTCCAGGATACAACTCAAATGCTTCAGATCTCTGACATGGCATCAGATGAGCTATGCTCAGGCTCCTCCTCCCCACTGATTAAAAAAGGATTCTAGATACTTAGCTCAGATATTGATGTAGGCAGCTGATAGACAGATGGGTATAATTGTCAGGACAGATGAATCCTACCAAAAATTTGCCAGTGGGTGCCATTTACTCTCCAGTAAGTGTGACCAGCACACTCCAGTTCCTGCTGAACAGCAAACTGACTCGTGCTCATGTCCACCACTGCAAACTGCCCCCTGCTCCCAGGTTTTGGTCAGGGAACAGCTGCTTTCCTCAGACAATGAAACTCTCTCTGGAGAAAGTCAAATAAAACTCCTTTCTGTGATGCTGCATGAATACTCTTTTATAAGAAATGAGGGGTGCCACTAAGACAGACATTTAGGGGAAAGCTGCAGTCAAATCTACCAGCCATTAGGCCATGTCGGGAATGCTGTAACAGCCTCATGAAAGATCCTGCCTAGTCTCTTTCATACAGTAGCTCTTAATAATGAGCATATAATAAATGTACAGTCTGGAGGAATTTACTATACAGTATCCAATTGGATTTATATAGTCATAAACTTCCACAGCACTGCTTCTATGATTTACAACAGTCCCTACTAATGAAGCTATGCCTGGATATGAGATGTAGAAGGCAAAATTTACCAGACTGGTTGTACAGTGATACTATACAAATGCACATTTGCCACAGCAATTTGTAATTGCTCATTAACAGAGAGCCATTGCGAATAGCCGTGTATTTTAGCCTGCTCTTATGAAAAGGGCCAAAAGCATAAACCTAGGAAATTTGTGGGATAGGGTTTTATTGTGATGGAGTTTAGAGATAAGGGAAGGAGTGGGGAGCAGATAGCCCATGGACCCCATCTGTGAAACTTCTGCTACCTTCTGCCTGGACTGCAGGGGACTGGGCTTGGTGGTGTACCTGATTCCTCCCCGGATACATACTTTTGATTTCCTAAAAAGCAATCACCACAGAAAATATTCTAAATTACTGTAGGACAAGCTTCTCATGACCTAAATGGATATGGAAGGATGTCTACTTCACAGAAGTTTTCCAGTACAGACATGCATTTTGCTGTTACTCAGCATATCAAATAGCTGTTTCAGAAAGGAAAATGCCATTAATATGAATTAATGTCATTAATATAAATTACCTGGGCATCGTGGGCAGCACAGCTGTGGTACATGCACAGGGGAAGGACAGTGTAGGCTCGGGCATCTTATTCTGCTGCACAGTACATTTCCATTCTGCAGGCAGAAAATAATACGATACTTTGCATGTAATGAAACGGGCTACCTTACAAGTGTCTGTGTTATCTATTCTATGTTTGGATATTTTAAAAACAAATGCCATTTTACAACATTCTGGTTCCTGTCACACCAGCGTACGCTCAGACTACTTTCACTGCCTCTGAATTTAAGCTGGAGGTCAGATTGTAACAGAAACCCATGCAAATCTTAAAATCAGAGCAATTGCCTAAAAATGGATTGCAACAATCTTCATTTGTGTTTTCTTTTGAGCAGATTGTGCTTGGGAATTGCATTTCCAAAACTAAGACACAGATAATGAATGGTAGGTCTCTGAGATATCCCCTACTGAGGGTTAGTTCAAGACCGCAAGAGACAATAGTGTCTGTAATTTTTCCTGAAAACTGTGGAGAGTCTTTTGTTTTCATTTTATGGGTTCCCCAGTAGACAAAGAACACCAGTTGGTAAGTAGCCATTTTTCTAAGAAATATGAGCAAGTCTTGGGAATAGTTCTCATTACTCATGTCATTAACATAATATTCTATTTGACCACATCTAAGTTTGATTTATAATTAAAACACGGGGAATTTTCCTTCTCCAGTGTCTGTAACCAGAAAAGACTATCCATTTCAGATTCCCATTTCCCATCTATAATTCATCCTCCTAATTTAGCTCTGAGTTGCTCATGTTTATAGCAAGAAAGATCTTTCAGCATGAGCATTGATACTATGCTGTGACTGTGCTGTGACTATGTCGGTTCAGGTGGTGTCGGGAATAAACCCACTGCATTTTCATATGTCTTCTGGAGCACTGAAATGTTTCCAGCAGAGGTGCCAGCTTCCTTAGATTTCAGTTGTATAGGATTTTCTAGCCATCCCCTTCGAAACAATCCCCTGACTCCTCCATACCTGTAGACCACAGGCTGGAACCATGCTGTAAGGCCCTTACTACCCACGAACATTTATGCATCTTCTCCAGAAAGAGACACTAAAATGATAGCCATCTGTTTCCAATGGTGATTGAAATTAAATGTACTGATTGTATAAAGGGGGAGAAAGTCCTAGGCTGCAGGCTTTTGCAGGATGAGGACTGTTGTTGGCCTGCACAGCTCCTTGCCCAGCAGACCAGGGTCCAAGAGCCTGTGAAGCACTGCTGCCAAAGAAGGGCTGGCTCCGTGTCGCTTCCTTGGCCTGTGCCGTGGCCTCTCTCCCTTTTTATTTACTCATCCTGCAGAACCTCCTGGGTGAAACATGTACTTTTGGTGCTTCTGCAAACCTATTTAACTGATCTTATGCCTAGATTCTCAGAGATGGTTGGGAATCCAAGCCCTCCTGACTAACGTGGGATATAACCTCCGTGAGTTAGGGCCATGGAAAGCGTTCCTGCGCCCGACATGACGGGTAACAAGGCAGCTCTCTTCCTGAGCTGCGGCGTGGTGCTGCCTGGGGACAGCGTTGGGTTTAACCCCTGAAGTCTGCAGATCTGAATTCTGCAGAACACTGAATTCTGTTTACGTTTATTCTGGTTTAAGTATGTAAATTATAACTCGTAAAAATACAATACTACATACACAAAACCAGGAATGCTTTTTTTTTTTTTTTTTTAATCTCAGGCTGAATAATTTGGCCTCTGTTTAGCTGGTTAATGTGTCTTAACTTTCTCTTCAACATTCAAGTGTGTGTGTGTGTAGAAATCTCTCTGTTGCCTGGCTGGTGTCACTTGTTTTGTGTGGAGATCATATGGACCATGATGTTTGAGGCCACAAAAGAAATTTTGGTCACACCGGTTATGTACACCCCTGGGATTGTTTTTACTTTCCTCTGAAGTGTGCAGAAGTAGGTTGCTGTTTTTCCCATCCCTCCACTGTCACATCTTCCTAAAAATCATTAGGCAATGACTTGTATCCAGATCTTCAGGGTTTCTAGCGAACTTCATCCCCACCCAAGACACAGCTTCCAGCAATGTAATGAGTGTTTTATCACATACTGACTCTGAGGGAGTTTACAACTTTGCATATAGATCAGCAGAAGTGAGTAGCAACTCCTTTTTGTTTTACACAGGGACTTTTTTCTTTGTAGCACAATGCTTTTGCTCTCACAGATGCACAGACGGGAGAGGCAGCCAACCTTGCAGGACTACTGTTTGTGCATCTCTGCACAGAGCTGTAGTAGCAGATCCCCCAGAGCAAATGCTGCACAGGGGCCCAGTATTTTACACTTGCAGGGGGAGGAAATAGCCAAGAAAAATGTATTCTACATTAAATACAGCAGACAAAACTCAGCATCTGGAGTGTCTCATGTGTTAGTCATTATAAAGTACTCCAAGGGACATATTCTGCTCTCATTCTCCTGTCCTCCCAGCACTGTACAACATACTTAGAGTCTGTGACTGCTGTGTCTGGGTATCAAGCATCAACTGATGGTAGCCCAGGGCCTGTCCTTTCCTAGCCTGGCCAATTCTCTCTGCCCTCTGTGCCCACTCCTCATTTTTCATCATCTTATTGTTCCTTCCTAGAGTCTTAAAAATGTTATTATCCATTTATTGTTATTATCCACTGTTTTTTCAACACTTTAAGGCAGCAGGTGCTTTGACTATGGAAATGCCTTTAAGAAGACGTGGGCAGTGTATGTACATCAGAACACAATGAAATTTGGGTTCAACATAATCCTCCGTACTGACAGCAGTACAAGGATTGTATTTAAGTAGTGAGGTCTAATTATTCAAGGGGTAATGCTCAGCACTGACCAAGCTCCTGGCTAGTTGAGGAGCTTTTTTGGCTACACTGTACAAGCATTTTTGCCACTGTTGGCCTTCTTTGTTAATGTTTTCCCTTCACAAGGACATTTTTCCTTCATTGCCTCTATTTCCTGCAGCATGATCAGGACCCACCAGTGAAAACTGGTTTGGGCTTTGTCAAATTGTAGATACAATGCAGAGGATTCTGGCCAGTTAAGCAAACAGAAGTTGTAGGGAGAATAGCTCGATAGTCCTACCTCTGAGCAGAGACAATTAACGCAGTAAACAAGTCCATAGGGTTCTAGGTAAGGATGCCATCTTTCTCCTACACGGTACTTCTTGTCTTGAAACACACAGTATGTATCTGAATCTGTAAACCAGAGAAGAATTGAAAGAGTTATGAATGAACAATCCCATTCCATACTTGGAAAATAGCTGACAAAATGCCTTTCATACAGGGTGTGTTTATTCTTTGAGCTTCAAAAGCGTAGGCTCAGATTCCATTTAGGTAACAAAATGAAAGTGCTTGATTGCTCAGACAGGTTTATATACTAAACCTTTTCATTACAAAACCAAAGCAACTGGCTGCACTCAGGAAAATCTCAAGCTGTACAGCAGAGATTTTGAACAAGGGGACTACAGAAGGAAGATCCATGTGTTGCAGTTTACACTGCACATGGAGTATCTCCACGTTGTAAGAACCTGATAAAAAAGAAGCTTGTCCTAGTATTTCAGAGCAATTTGTGCTGACTTATACACGCATCAGCTTCCAAATTAAGATCTTTATGTTCATTAAATACTTGTAATTTTGCAGGTACAGTTTTGCAGATATCCGTCTACCTACAGACATCACTGCCCCGTCTCTCCCTGTCACATTCCAGTTTCATAGAGAAAACTCAAATCTCCTCAGTAAAAGGATGTGGTTCTCTGTGTTGCCATGAGAGGAATCCTTGCCATACCTTTATGACGTCCGAATTCCGTTTGATTCATCACTCTCTGTATAGCTGGTGCTTCAGGGTATCAAACAAAATACCTGTCTTCCAAGAGATAATCTCAGCAAGGACATTCTTAACATTTACGGGGCTACGAGAAAGTAGCAAGAGGTAGGGATTGAAATCTCTCCTCTCCTTTCTTCTTTTCCTCTCCTCTTTTCCTCTATCTGTAGAAGCACAAGCTGCTGACAGTGAGGCCAAAAATTTTAACAATTTCTTAATGGCAAGCGATGTGCTTTGTAAGAAAAAGGCCAAAATGCAGCCTGCACAGGTGGGGAGAGCATTCCAGATAGCGAGTGGCACGGCTGTAGCAGGCAGTAACTCCTACAGGCTTTGTAGAAGCATTCCCTGTGTTTTGTTTGTATTCTTTTCAATGCTTCTCATCAAGTTTTTGACAGTGCTTAGACTCTTAATTTTCTCAAAGGATGTATCTAATCCAGTTCATATGAGGTTGTTTTTGGAACAGAACGGAACAGTCTTGGACGAGCTTTACACTAGCTGAAAACCTCAGCACAATAGTCTTACACATGGGACAAAATCCAGATAATCTGTCAGATGTTTACAGAGGTCACTAAAATAGAATTAAGCACTCTCTTGATTCAGGGTATTTGAAATAAAACAGATTCTCCAACTGATGTGTTATGTTCTTTATGAAGCAGTGAAACCTGTACAGCTTTAGGAAAATGTGCCCCAAACATGGGTGTGACCTGATTCCACTAAACACGGGATTAGGAGGAGGAAGAATGGTAGAACGTTTTGAATGCAGTCCTGCAGTTTAGAACATTCTTGTTTGAAAATCTTTTCTGATCCACATTTGTCAAATAGCAGGAAAACGTCAGGTTTGAGTGAATGTGAAGGCTTTGTTTATAAGTCTACTTACGTTTTACTTGTTCTAGTTTACCTCCATCTACGAAAAGGAGACAGACCACACCAAAAAAGATAAAATGAAAATCCTCCAATCTCCACTTTTTTCTCATCTTTATCAACAAAAGGGAGAGAAAAAGCCTCCAAGGTAGAGAATGTTGAGCTGTCGGGAAGAAAACATGAAATGAATAAAACTAGAATCCTGCGAGATAACTTAAATTCTCTGACATGTCTTCGGCCAGCACCCAGCAATCCTAAACTGCAGGAAGCAAAAAATCTGTCAGTATCATAGATCTTCATTTCATGGAAACATCTTTGGCCTCAAATCATCCCGTTTTTGGAAAAGGGACCACACTCTCATTCATGAAAGCTGAAAAGTGGACATCTAGTGGACATCAAGTCCTGTTTGATTCCAAAGTGGAGAAATCTGGCATGTAAGCAATCTCAATTCTTACACAAGAAAAATAGGTTGGGAGATTTTCTTGTAGAACAGCTCTTTTGGGTGTAACTTAGGAAATACAGGTGTCAGTGATAACATGTTTGTCTCATTGTAAAATTACCCTTGCGTTTCTCTGGTATATTGGCCCTGCACCGTGGAAATCCTTGCTTTGGGTGAAATGCTGGCCAGGCTCTGGGCGAGGGGAGTTTTCCTCACTGAATCTAACAGGCTCCCACCACTATTCAACTCACCCCTCCTCCCATCTCCCAACTACTATTGTTCTGGGATTGGGTATAATTAATTTTTCTAGTGTTAACCCGTTCGTTGCCTTGAAATCTGTAAGTACAATAGGGGAAGAAACATGCCCCCTTCCACCTTGTAGATCTTCAGTGTCAAAGTCTTGCACATGGAGCAAAGCCTATTGTATTCTCTGAGAGGTGCTGAGATGGGATCGTACTTGCTGCAAGCACCATTCTCTATCTTTTTCTGGCTTTTAAAAGATGAATTATTTTATAATGAATAGAACAGGGAGAAATGTAAATAACTAAGGTAAAACTTATTCATGATAGCTAATGTAAATTTCTAATTTAGGAAATCTGAAGATGCTTTACTGCTTATCAGACATTCACTGCAAAAGCATTATCTTCACAGCATACATTTGTCCACAGTTTACAATGTAGAAAAGACTTGGTTTTGATTTTAAGAGTCTTGAAGTGGATTCACAGTTTTATAAAAGTTCAAAAAAAAAAGATTCACTATCGGAAAAATAAACAATCAGCTTCGTAAACTAATTTGACCTCTTCAGATTTCATGTAAATACTAGAACTGTACATGACTGTGTTTCAGCTGACAGATAAGCAAAGCAGAAAGAATAATTCAGGTATGTGTATTCGAGATTAAGTGGTGGAGAGCTTAGAGAAATCAACCGTTGTAAAAAGAATGGAGAAGGCACTGTAAGTTAACAGCCACTTAAAAAAATCTTCCTATTAAAACTATTGTGCTCTAGGATACCCTAACAAAGAGTAGGGGATCCTTTATCAGAGTGTTTTTATTACCTTTAGTATCTGGGGGTTCTCTACAGATTCCCCAACCACAACAAAATGGATATGTGCCCTAACTAACACGTCTGTCTTCAGCGAGCTCTGTGTTCAGTGGGCTCATTCAAAATAATGCAGACTGCATCTGAAAGCATTCAAAAACATAATGCTGTTTTCAAAGCACACTCCCTATGGCAGTAACAAAATATAACTTTCCATTTATTTTGGAAGCTGAAAATAATATTCCCATTTCAGAAGAAAGGTTTAAGTCACTTTTTCCTTTCAACATGTTCAAATCACACAGGAGACTTTCAAGCCAAACAAACTTCTACAAACTTGTTTAAAATGAAAACCTTGCAGTTTAGTCTCAGGACATCGCTGAGAACAACAGTAGCACATCAGCGGGACTGGCAGAAATACTAACGGTCAAATACTTCGGCCTTCTTGGGGGTTGCTTAAGCCAACAATATTTATAAACGGAGCACAATAATCCTTTGTGCAGCACTTTACCTGTCGGCTAGCTCGGCTAGCTCGAATAGATGGAGCTTAGAAACCCATCCATTTTACACGTCACGTCTTCCAAAGGAGGAACTTTTGGAAATTGGGGTTGCGTACGCTCAGGAGCGCTTCCCGGCAGTGAAATGGAGGAGTTAACAGCAGCAACGGGACGGGGACTTTTGATGTATTCCTTAATTCTCTTTAATTTCGGGATTGTTGTTACTCCAAATATAAGCGCATACTTTTCCCTATTAGCACACTCCCTTTACATCCCCAAAGGGCAACGTCCCGAAAACTCCCCCCGGCTCAGCGCAGCCCCGCTCTATTAACCTGTTCACCATCGGCGTGCTCTCCGCGCAGCACGGGCACCGCGGGGACCCGCAGGGACGCGTCTCCTCCCCGAGCCCAGGCTCCCGGCTCCTCTTTTTCACGCCTCGCCCTGCGAGGAGCCGGCCGGGGGCACGTCGCTGCCCGAGCCCCGGGGCTGGGGGCACCCGGCCGTGCTCCGGGGCGCATCCGCGGCGGGGATGGGGCCGGCAGCGGGGTCAGCCCCGGCTCCGAGGCTCCGGGGCTCGGCGAGGGAAGAGAAGCGAAGCGAAGCAAAGCAAAGCGAAGCAGAGCAAAGCGAAGCGAAGCAAAGCGAAGCAAAGCAAAGCAAGAACTCACCCACCTGGGACCGGGCTGGGGCCGGGGGGCTCCGCTCCCCGCTCACGTTGCCGGCATCTCCGCCCGCCCTTTCGGGGCTGCCGGGGAAAGGGACGGGACGGGGAGGGAGGACGGGGGGGGGGTCCCGCAGCCGGTCCCCGACCCCCAGGAGCTGGGGACGAGGAGCTGGGGCCGCACCACGCCGAGCCCCGGGCCACCTGCCGCCTCCTGCCGCTGCCGGCGGCCCGAGGATGCTCGGCCGTGCCCCGGCAGCTGCAGCCGCGGCGGCACTGGGAGCAGCGGGAGGAGCGGCGCTGGGAGGCAGCGGCCCGGCGATCCGCCTCCCGCCCCGGCCCCCTCCTCTGCCGCCGCCCGGCCCCGGGGCCGCGGCCCGGGGTGGAGTTTGCTCCTCCGGGGGGGAGCCGGGGGGCGCCCGGGGGGCCTGGGGGTCGCGGCCGCCACCTGCGAGCCCCCCCCGGCTGGTCGGGTGCAGCCCCGCCGCCCGCAGAGGCGAGCCCCCCCCTCCCCTCCTTGTCGGGTGTTCCCTCGGGAGGTTTCGGGGTCACCCGGAGGGGCTGAATGAACCCCCTGGCTCCTGACGTTACGTGCTCGGTCAAACGGCCCCGTTCCCTCTGGTTTTAGCCCGTGTAACTCATAAGAAGCGAGCGGTGAACCCTCGACAAATGGTCTGAGAAAAAGGGCGAAGGATGAAAAGACACCGTGCGGAGACAGAAACGCCAACCTGTTTCCCCCAGTTTGGGAGTGGGGTGTTTGGGGAGCACTGCTGGGAGGTCAGACGGTTGAAAACTGAGCAGAACTTGTCATTTCTTCCATTTTAATGAAACAGCGAAAGTACAGCACGTGGTGAAACCTTGTGCTGGCACAAGGAGAGGAGGTGGCTTTCTAAGGGCGTTCTGGTGTGACTTCACGAGCAATCAGAGCTGTGTGTTAGCAAAAAGCAGTATTATACCTCTTAATGTTAAAAAGGGAAATAAAAAGAAGCTGCATTCTGGAGTTAAGCTGCTGCCACAGGCTGATAGTTTTGGAGGAGCCACTGGTGACGTAAGAATGGGCAAATGGAAATAAAAAAAAAGTGGTTATTGTGAATCAGAAATATTCTTGTAATTTGCACTTGAAAGCAGAGTCTGGGCTGTGCAAGCCCTGGCCCTGCCAAGGTACATGTACGCTCCTGGAGAGAAGTGTACGCACCCCCCCCTTGGAGTGGTGGGGCTGCAGCAGCGCTGCTACTGAGCTGCTGCACCGGGCTGGGCTGCGTGGGCTCAGCTGGCGAGGTACACAGCGTGCAGATAGCGTGTGCACCGGGATCTGCCACTGCGCCAGTCCCGTCACATGCTGCAAAGAGCCAGAGCCCGCCCGAGTCCTCCTGCTGGCACTGACCCCGGGTGCGGGGACTTGCCTAGGAGCTGCCCTTGGCTGCCAGGGTGCTGGGTGTGGGGTAATAGGAAATCTTCCCCGGGGTAAATCCTGATCCAGGACCCCTGTAAGACCGATCATGTCTCAGAAACTGGGCTCACACCCCACCAAGAGGTGGCAAAGTGAAGGCTGTAACGCCGAAGGGCAGCGAAGTCAAATGAGATAAAGCTCTCACTGTGAACTGGAAGGAGTTTGTTCCTGGGGTGGGCCAGCAGGATGTGGTGGGCTCTGAACACCTCTTCACAGCTCTGGATAGAGACCAGATTGCATTGTCAGAGCTGTTTCTTGGATCTAGTGCAGCATTTACAACTGAAGCTCTGCTCTTTTGTCCAACTCCTCACGGGAGGCTGAAGTTGTGCTGGAGACTCCACACCTGGTAGTTCTCCATCCAAACCAAAAAAGAATCCATTCCCTCCAGCATTAGGTAGAGAGAGCTAAACTGATAGACGTCAGATTTCAGAGGAGTTAACGAGACACTGAAATGCCCTCGGTAACATCATTAAAATGATGTTACTTTATAGAAAAGGGGCATTGCGTGGGCTCTCGCAATTCGGGTAGGATGTTTTGATTTTCTGAAATCCCGTGTCACTACTGCAGGTGAGGGCTGGGGTCTCTGTGCTGGGCTGTTGCTCTGTTGCCGATGTTGCTGCTCAGAAGCCATATTCTCTTTATGGCTGGCAGCAGGCAAAGTGAGTGTTCATATGGTGAGCTTTTCAAAAGGCATTAAGCTTCCTGGGGAGTGTGAGTATCTGTTGTCCTCAGTGTTACTTAAGACCAAACACACAGTTTGCAATTCTGTCTAGGAAGGAAAAGAGATTGCAGATCTTTGTGGGCAGGAATCCACAGGTCCTTGTACAGAGGCTCCAAAGTTTGGTTTTATGGCATCTGTGTGACTGGTAGGCACAGCCTGGTGCTTGGCAGAGCTCGGGTTTGCTACCTGGGCATCCTCCAGACCCGCTTACCTGCCACACTGCCAACACCTCTCAGCCTCCCCTAGACCACATCCCTCCCCGGCACAGCCTCCTCTGTGCTGGTACAAAGTCCAGTGTGCATGGATAAGGACAGCAGTAGTCCTTGTAGTACTCTTCATGCATAGTCAGCATAATAGTAATGAGAAATTAAGTATTTTCTATAGTCTGTGACCCGAACTCTTTTGCAGAGAGGTTCTTTGAAGAGAAATTGCTTATTTGGCCTGAAGAGTGCCTTGTGAAGGTCACTGCAGATGCCAGCACTTTATACTGCATCCTGCGAAGCTGGTTCAGAGGTGATGGTATCTGGCGGCTTCTGGAGATACTAATTCAGGTGTAAGACCTTTGCTGAACACTGAACTACACAAAAAGGAGACCTCCTCCCACTCTTTGGCAAACCTAGATTGGAGAGAATTGGCTGAAAGAGCCTTTCCCTGGGACTGGGGACTCTGTAGGTGGGCAAGACGGTGGAAACCCGGCCCTGGCCATGCGGCCCAGGCTCACTGCTAGTCCTGGTCCTGCTCCTCGGGGAGCTGGGCAGCGTGCCTGGGGCGTCCCTGCAGGCAGCTGAGTGCTGACCTGGTCCAGGCAGGTACAGAGCCTGCCTCTGCTTCTTGCCATGCGTCTCCACGGTTGGCAGTGCAGAGGGCAGTGTGACACACGCTGGGCGTTGTGCAGGAATGAAGTGATCGCAAGTGGCCTCTTGGTGAGTAACCCTTGCTGAGCTTGCTGAGCTTGCTGATGCCGCTGGATGTGGGTAAAGCTGCACCCATGCCTGCGCCCTTCCTCGTTTCCCAGCTCCATCAAAGTATCATTGAGGAGTGAGTACGGTTACATTTGGTACCCTTTGTGTCTCGCCCACTATGCTTTGCTGGGTGTTGCAGCCAATGCAGCCCTGAGTCAGGGAGCCCGTCTTATTCCCTGCAGAGCACAGCGCTGCCACGACTGAGGAAACACCTTGCCCTGTGCTCTTGCTCAGCAGTGGGCTGGGACTGAAGTTTCTGAAGGTGAGGGCTGCTGCACACGTGGGACACGGAGAGCTCCAGAGGAGCAGCAAGTACATAGCTGTTACCCTTCACGCTGTCGGGCAGAGCTCACTGTTTGAATGTGCTCAGTGTCCTCGTGATTGGAGAGGGAAGAATTGCTCCCAGCAGTGGGCATTAGGGATTCAAGGATGCCCTACGTTTCTAAGAGCACATCAATTTAGCCATGTAATTCTCATTAGAGGTAATAGAACTTGAACAGCTAATGAAGTGTGACCCTGACAGTAGAAGTCCATTTCCTCGTGCTGTGCCTTGCAGTGACTTAACAGAACACGGGTATCCTACTGTTAGTTCTCAGTTCTTGCGAGGGAAAAAAGCAAGATAAAAGATTCATGCCAACGCTAACATGTTTATACACCATGCAAAGCTCTCTTAACTGGATTAGATATGGAGTTTTGAGAGACAGTAGATGTGATACAACTTCCATTTACCTCCCTGTCTTTTTTTTCTTTCCTTTCAAGTAAAAAATAATTATCTACGGTCAATTTTTCAATTCTGAATATGTGTGAAAAGAAGTTCTTAAACTAATGAATGTCTTAGTTTTTACATTCCTATAAATTCTTTTGAGCCCTTTGGAAAATGTATCTTAAAATGCTAAATATTATTCCCAGGATTTTAGAATAATCTCTAAATTACTTTCTGTGGTTTGGATCAGCCCTGCAACTATCATACTGGGAATACAATCTGGATGTTCATCAAGCAGTCTCCACATACGCTGCTAAACAAAAAGGACTTCAGATGTGCATGATTTTGTGATTATGGCATAGGATGGTCATGAGCATTCTCCACCCTCCTGTTCATTCTGTTGCACTGACTTCATCTGTGGTGGGGTTTCAGTCCTCTAACACTAGAAATTAATTTACTTATTTAGCAGAGACAGATGGAGTTAGTAAATCTGAGATCCTTGAATGCAGTTTGCTAAAAACAACAGCAACATTACATAAGACATCAAACTGCTGTCCAATCCTCCTTACCTTGATGCAGACATGTTCCTCTGAGGCTGAAAAGTAGGTGGAAGTCTTTCAATGTTCTGTCAAAAAATGCAAATAAAATATGCATTTCTAAATCTCACTTCCAGATACAGAGGTGCACAGAGAGTCACCAGTTGCCAGTAACCAATATGAAAGTGCAGGAGAAGAGAACCACCAGTTTTTCATCCTGCCCTAGAGCAGATGATGCTTTGCTAGGTGTGGTGTTGAGAACAGCACTGTACGGGTACAGAACAGACAGACGTGTGCTCAGAGGTGAGGAGGCTCACCTGAATTTTGCATTGGTCTCAAAGTGTTCACCTGCAGCTGTTTCTAATCCAATCCAATCCAGTCCAATCCAATCCAACCTAGATATTTCTATATTTCTATTTCTATAACCACAGTAGTGTGCACAGCTGTAACAATAATCCTGTAATTCTCTTCTACCTTTACCTTTCAAAGAAAACCAGCAAGACAACTGGTAGCAATCCGTGTTTTTTATAGATTTGTGAGCTGCATATAAAATATCCTTCACCACAGTGTGTCAAAGCATCAGTACTCAGTGGTTTACTGAGAGTGAAATAGTAATGAAAAATTTCAGTGTCATCACCAAGATATGTAGCAGCAATTATTACTCAAACTTTCAAATGAGCCCAAGGAATCGACATGAACTACAATTAAATTGTGAAAGTGCTGATCTTCGTGACATTCCCAGAATGTCTTCGTGTCTGTCCTGTCTCGAGATTTCCCAATTCAAGTTGGGAAATTCTTGACCAGATACATCTTTCTGTCAGGGGTGCATTGTAACCTCTTGACAGAAACCACTGATTTCTGATTCATCTCTTTTGTGTGCTTGTCCATCTAATTTACTTGTTTGTTTATTTGTTGTTTATTTAAGAAAATTGTTAGTCGTGTCAGACTAATCTTTCTCTCACTTTCTAGTATTAACAACAGT